TTTGTTTTGTATTTAATTTTTCTTAGATTCTTGTTGTCGACTATACTTTATGAATGTTCTAAGCTATGGTTCGTATCCTCTAATGCGCCGCGCACAAAAAAAAACGACCTAAGTCCAGAAAATAATTTTATTTTTTTCTGTGCATTAATACTTATTACACTAACAAGCGTTAGTATATTATTAAGAAAATTTTTTCTTGCCTAACTCGCAAATTGAAGTGTTATTAAATTTGTTCACTTATTTGATGGCTCTTCTGCTATAATCATGATCTGTAGCATTCGAAAATTCATAGCATTTGTTCTCTGCTTTATTTGTGGCTAGTGTTTGTGATTTATTAAGCGTCCGTGGCTGAGTGCTTAGTACTCATAATCTCTAGGTCGCAGAGCGAATCCGAGACGTAACTCGTCCGTGGTTTATTAAGCGTCCGTGGCTGAGTGCTTAGTACTCGTAATCTCTAGGTCGCAGATCGAATCCAATTTTTTCACTAATTCGAGGCTTATTTGTACTTTTTCTTATTGCATTTTTTAGAGCTGCTTTTTGTCGTGTTCTCACCAGGGTTATACGGAATTAGACACAGGCTAAGCTGCGCTTTATAAACACTAGTGAGAGCACGACAAAAAGCAGCTCTAAAAATTGCAATCAGAAAAAGCACGAATAATAAAGTAAAAAAAATGTACATAAAAATTAAAATTCGAATAGGACGGATACTTAAAACATTATCATGCTCAGAATATGTATGTTGCAGTTAAGTTTCAACAGAGATGAGTCGTGCCATGCTTCATTTCTGGAGATGAGTCCTGTAAACAAAGTTATTGAACAAATCAAAAACCTAGTACCCGATTGCAACACATTTGTTGATCGCAAGGATAAACACTCGAAAACGAAGTCTAATACCCACTTCCAGAGGTCGGATTGGAACAAAAACTATTCTTTATTCAGGTCTTTGGCCGGATGGTAAATTTTACTAATGATTCAAAATTATCCAGGTTTTATGAATTTGGGTTATACGGAATTAGACACATGCGAAGCTGCGCTTTGCAAACACAAATTGAATAAACCTTGATAAATTTGAATCATTAGTAAAATTTACCATCCGGTCAAAGACCTGAATAACGAAGAGTTTTTGTTCCAATTCGACCTCTGGAAGTGGGTATAGACTTTGTTTTCGAGTCTTTATCCTTGCGATCAACAAGGGTGTTGCAATCGGGTACTAGATTTTTGATTTGCTAAGTAACTTTGTTTACAGGTTTTATCTCCAGAAGTGAAGCATGGCACGACTCATCTCTGTTGAAACTTAACTGCAACATACATATTCTGAGCGTGATAACGTTTTAAGTAGCCGTCCTATTCGAATTTAAATTTTTGTTATGTTGGTTGTAATTTTACCTACTCGATTTTCCTTCGGCTTTTTTTCCGGGCTTAATAGGTTTCAGATTATATTCTAATCATTTGGTTGCCTCATTTTGCGTCGGTTGATAAGCGAAGTTTTTTTTGTAGATTGTGAGTTTGAGGTGAAGAGCTAAAAAATCTTTTTTTTTAGTACTTGAATGTTTTTTTTCGGCTTAAAAGATTTCTGCTTAGCTTTCCGATGTAATTTTTACATTCTTTTGTTTTGGTACGTTTGTTTTTCAAAACTAGCTTGATTAATTTTGATGTATCAAGTTTTTTGGTGTTTTACCTTCCGGCTATTATCTTGTATCGTGTCGCAAATGGTGCCAGGCACCACTTTGCCAGTGTTTTTTTCCGGATGGCTCCACTTTGCGTGTTTTTTCCGGATTTTACGCAGAATCAAGCGCCCAGATTTCTCGTCAGAATGGGTAGACTGATAAATCATTTAAAAGACCTCTCAATCGTGCTTTGAACATTATGCAATTTTCAAAAAGTTTTCTCTGTATCCACTAAAACGTAATAGAGGTTTTTTGTTATAATTTTGGACGAGTAGGTGTTATGTTACGGCAGTTCGAGTTTTTTTAGAAATAAAAAATTTTCAAAAAAGCTACCTGCAAAAAAATTTCGAAAATGATTTTGTTTTGTTTTTATTCATTTTTCGACACTGAGGCGAAGCTGAACTATGCACCATTTGCGATATAACAATTATGGGATGAAAGCATCATGAAGTTCAAACATAGCAAAAAAGAAATTCGATCGATGTTACAATTGAAGAAAGAACTGGAAAACTAAAAAAACTAAAGTTTTTCGAAGAGGTCATAGTGGGGCTGATCTTGAGCATTTGAGTGTGCTGCCATGATGTTATCGATCTTGAAAGTACTAACGTAATTTAATATCTTTACCAAATTTCAATAACTATAGTCGATAATACCTGATATACAGAGGTTGAAAACTTTCGTCTTTTGCATCGCATCATACCACGCCCAAAAAGGTAGCAAGTTTGACAAAAGTTTTTTTTTAAATTTTTTTTGTGAATGTTGCGGGAACTTTCTGTGCTACTTGCACAGCGACCGGCTACTATTGTTCAACGAGGCGCAGTTTCAGAACAATCGATGGGCATAATTAATACTGATGAAATTGGCTGCAGGACTTACCAAATCAAAAGTTCAAAAAAGAAATCATTGGAATTTATTTTTTATGTAATTAAATAATAAAAGAGGTTTTTAGTGTAAGCATGATAATAATTATCCTTTTAACCATAATAGTAATAATATAAGTCATCATTATCGCAATATCATAATACTTGAAATGAACAAAGCCAACAGATGATTCCAAAATTGTTGAAGAACTGAAGGAAGCTGAAAACAAATTGTGAAGCTCTTTGAATTTCCAGAATATTTATGATTGATACTTTCTTATGGAAGTTATCCCATGCAAACAAAATTGCATCAATAGGTTTTTTTTTCTACTGTAAATTCAGAAAATGTAAGTGCATTTTTGAAACTAGAAATCAGTTACGTTTTGCATGACTTTAACATTGTTTCTGTTCGATAATGAAGTTTGCCTTCATGTTAACAAAAATGAACTGAGCCCAAAAAGAAATAAAGTTAAAACGCGAAATTTAGACTCTTTTCTCGAAAACATTTTCTTTAACATCTGTAAGAAAATAATCTTGCATTATTCTTACAACTAACATGGCTCCTTCCCATTTGGTCTAGAGTAACGCGGTTGCCTTTGCATCGTAAGGTCTTGGATTCGATTTTTTTGTCATCCTATGTTCTTGTTGTGCTTAGTTGCCTCATCCCAGATTTTTCTTGTGCAGTAAGCAGCTCACTTGCAATTGTTGTTGATATTTTTGATAATTTTTTTCGCTTTAACGCATTCTTTGGCCCGAATGGTTTCGGCTTATGTTTTATCGGTTTATTCCACTTGTTGCACTACGCAAAAATTACCGTGATAAGCTTATTTACTGTTTTCTTTATTGTTTTGGTTGGTATTCTCGACAGTTTTAATGATATTGATTTCATTTTTTTAAATAAGCATTGATTCCTGATTGTGAATTGTCGCTTGCTACGAAGTGCTGCCATGTCAAGCTAGGAGTTAGATTTAAATAATGGAAAAAATTAATTAAAATATGAATTCGATGCATTTCAGTAGTCGTAAAGTCAGTTTTTTCTAGTTTCTGTTTTCTTAATTGGATGTGATGGTTGTGCATGTCTCATCACTATCACTTGACTCCAGCAGAAGCGACGCTGATTGCAGTACTCTTTCGCCTGAAAAAAAAAACAATCGTACTACAGTGATGATTGAAATCAACCGGACAAAACAAAAAACATTTGAAACTTGATACGCGTTTTACCCTAACATGAGTCATCTTGTTTTTTAACTTGACCAAGAATTGCGCCAAAACTATCGAGTTAATTGATTTTAAAAAAGTTCAAGAAGCCTCTCACATAGCCCACCTAAGTTCTAAAAGGATAAAAATCTCCAAAATTTAGCGCAAATTTTTTGAAAGTTGTTTTTAAGCAAAGATTTTCAAGAGGTCATATTGTAAAAATGACATTTTTCAAAAACCAAACAAAAATTTATGCTCTTATACAAATTTTTGGACTTTTGTTTACCTCTAAAACTTTATTGGGCTATGTGAGAGGCTTTTTTGATACAACTTATTCATTGATTAGCAAAAACCAGAATGATTCGTTTTTAGGCTAAAGTTTTTGTTGCGACTTTGCAAAATAAATTGCACCATGATAATTCTGTTGAAATCCTAGGCAATTTTTGCTCAATCCAAAAAAAAAGCGTTTAAAGTTTTGTTCATTTTGTCCGGATTATTTAAATCAGCACTGTAGAAGCATTAATTTTAAATGAATATTTCCGAAACGTTGTATTTAACAAACAGTCATAGACATATCGGCTCTTTTTCCTCCCCCCCCCCCCACCTGCAAATTTTTATATTTGAAGTTATGGTTCACTTTGTCCTATTGTCGTGAAAATTGACATGCAGACTAATTAGGCCATAACAAGCATATTTGGTCTTCATAATTAACCTTGTAAAACCAGTCGTTAGACCATAAAATTCATGTTTGAGTGAGGTGGGGGGAAAAAGGAAAAAGAGCCGACATATCTTACCGTACAAATTATTCGTCTGAAAGTTGTAGCATATCCAAGTTTTTTCCCTAATTTTATTACTTTTATTTATCTAAAAATTAAATTCCTCTTTCGAAACTAGAAATCGTTTATTTTTTTTGCGCCATTTTCACGTTCTTATTTAGAGAGTGCTATTTACATAACTTTCAGCAGATGAATTTCAATTGAACTCAAAAAGTACATATACACCTAAGTGCATTCATAAATGCATTAATAAGTATGAATGCACATCTGTAGTTATAAGAGCATTTTAAGACTTTTTCCTGAAAAAAAAAAACAAAGCAAATATGTTTGTCATGGCCTAATAATTTAGATTAACAAGACGCTTGGAGAGGAATTTTAATCCGTTTTTGATTACAGGTAGTAATATTTTAATGTGCAAATGTTGATAGTGGATGCCAAAGGAAAATCCGCCTAACTTCTGATTACCATCATTGTTATTTGTTCACTTTAACGGTTGCTCCCTACTTGGATTTTCCCCCGAAACACCTCTGCCAGCAGTTACCCCCGAATGCCGGACTGAGTTCTGCCTTGTTCCTCCCTCCCTCCTCCCCCAATGAACCTTTCCCCATCTGGTCCGTCCCTCCATTGGCCTCCTCTGCATCATTGCCAGACTTGATCAAGTTCTCTCTCACTTCCAGGCTCTGGATAGTTGCACTCGATGCGTCTTGAGTCCGGTCACTATCAACTACACTTCGTTCATTCACTGTCAGTTCATTTACACTTTGTAAATTGTCCTGCCGGCTATTTTCCCCTTCCCTGTTGCTGGCCTCGTGATCTTCGCTTCTACTGGAGTTGTCACGTGATTGGGTATCCCGGGTAAACACCTCCTGAGGCTGCGTAGGCTTCATCTCGTTGGGGTCTTCGCTGCTCGTGCTCGTGAGTCCGCTCAAATCTGTCTCCTGCTGCTGTTTCCTGTGGCTATGATGAATGTTTTGCAGCCTGAAATTGGATCCATTGTAAGTTTTTACCGTTGAGAATATATATATTTATTTTAAAATACAAATTTTACAAATAGTCACGGGCGGTGTTAAGGGGGTGGGGGTGTCGCGGACGCCCTTGGCTCTTTTTTACCCCCCCCCCCCCCCACCTCATATGAACATCAATTTTATGGTCTAACGAGTGATTTTACAAGGTTAACTATGGAGACCAAATATGTTTGTCATGGCCTAATAATTTAGCATGTAAATTTTCATGACAATCGGACAATGCGAACAGTAATTTTAGTTGTAAAAAAATTCCAGGTGAGGGGGAAAACGAAAAAGAGCCACGCCTTTTTTTCCTCAGGGATTTGAACCCCCTCATCAACCAAAGGATCCCCATTTGGTATTATTTTATGACATCCATTGTAGACCGACCAACCCTAAATTTTTCCTATAGGCGCCTTTAACGCCTTTATATACTAATTTTGAAGAGGAGCGCGCTCCAAAAAACGCAACTTTTTGGTCAAAATTTTCCAAAAAGTGCTAAAAAAAACGGCTTTTTTAACCTTTTTTTTTCAAAAATTTGCCTGCGGCAGAAATGTTTTGTCAAAATGGGGTTTTATAACGTTCTGGGAGTGCCCAAGAATTAGTTCGACTGACTTAAAAAAAAAGGTCGACTGACAAAAAAAGGTCGACAAGATGAAAACTTTCTGAAAATCCGCCCCCCTCGAGAAAATCCTAGATCTGTCCCTGCAAAATTTATAATTTTTTAATTAATTTTGGGATCATGTGGAATTCATTTTCTCTAATTATTAGAGCCTTGTAGGTTTTTTCCTAGAAAAAAAAGGAAAAAAAATCATCACGGCCTATATAAGCGCCCGAACTACGTTCATCGACCCTGAAAAGATATATTTGATCCCTATTTGAGAAAAGTTGGCAAAAAAATAGTAGAAACAATTAAGTGAAAAGCGGGGATAAATTTGCCAAAAGCGCCATAATTTAGGTTCTTTATTTAGAGAATAGCTTAGGGATTACTATATTATATTCATTTCTGTTTCCAAAATTGGACCCATCTGCAGATCTAGGAGGGTTTATGTACCGATCAATGTTGAATCTGCCCCACAAGCTTGCGCCAGAGAACAAAACTGGTTTTTGCAAAGTCGAAAACGCAACGAACATTGAGTTCTTGCTCAGAGACGACGCATCACTGGCTGTACTCTTGTTCTCCTGCAGAGGGGTTGCAATCTTGCTCCTTCCAGCTGAAGGTCCAGAGTTGTCGGCAGAGTGCTCGTCCAGACTGCTGAGGGGATGAGATTCGTTGGAGTTGTCGTATGACTCATCACCGGCTACTGTCAGTCGTGCCTGGAACTTCTCCGGAGTGGCTGCTTTGTGTAGAGTGGTTTGAGTCTTCGGTCTTTTCTCTGGAGTTTCATCTCCTTCTGGAAACAGAAAGCAATTTTTTATCGGAAAAAACTTTTGCCAATGAAAAATTTACTTCGTAAATAAAAACCAGAACAGTTTTGCGGGTTCAATTTGCACCTGCACTGCAATTTACAAGGTTAGCTCTTGTAAGATAGCCATAGCTTAATTAATCTTAATTAATTAACCACATTGATAAACCTTCTGGTTATGCCTCTCGCTGGTCAGCAAAACAAAAGAAAGAAAATTTTAATCATTATGATCAGTTTTTGAAAATAAAGAACATTTTTGAATTAACATTTTTGACATCACATACAGCAATGTATGAGAATTTTCTGCAGATCCCCCCCCCCTGTAATTTTTTTGAAGTTCATTGCACAAAAGTTGATTTAAAATGATTTATCATGACAAAAACTGCATTACAACGTGTCAGCGTGAACAGGTTAACAAATTTTTACAACATTTCTTTTATGCAGAACGCCCTGTGAACAATTTTTGAATATATATTTTTTGTAATTTTACGAGGGGGGTGGGAACCTGGAAAAAAGAGGAGCGGGGCTGGAAAAGCATCATTTTTGTGGGCTGTTTTCCAGTTCCCCCCGGAAAATTACAAAATTAGGCTGTTTAAAATTTGTTCACATGGCATTTTGGATGTAAGAAATGTTGTAAAAATTTGGTCACTTGTTCACGCTTAAACGTTTTATTGCAGTTTATGAGAAAAAAACTTGTTAAATTGATTTCCATATATTGAATTTTAGAAAAAATCAAAGGGGGGACTGGAAAAGAGCCTTTTTGTGTTGTAACGAGCAACTTTACAAGGCTTATGAAGATTCAAAACGTTGTTCATGACAGGTAGTCTATATACCAATTTTCATAATAATTGGACAATATAAACAAAAATTTCAGTGCAAAAATTTGCAGGTGAGGGGAGGAAAAAGAGCCATGATAAAGAACAAAAGGGCTCTTTTCCACTTTCCCCCCACCTTTCAAAATATCGATATTTATGTTTGTTTTAAGTGTTATTACGGTTAAATGCGTGATGTTACGCGGTAAAGTATGAAGAACAAATCTGTTCATAATTGTCAATTTATTCACCATGCCAATTTTCATTGCATTATGACAACGTTAAATAAGGTTTTCAAAAATGCATTTGAAAAGGGGGGAACTGGAAAAGAGCCAACAAAAGTAGGAAAAACTATTGTTCAAAAATTTTTTTCATTACCTGAGGACAATCTTTGAATAGTTTTGTAGACTGAAAATAATATCCAAAGAGAAAGTGAAAAGCGCCAACTTGTCTAATAAGCCCTAATCTGACGGTTTATATGTATTGAAAGTTGCCAGCATTTGTTCACTTATTTACTGAAGAAAAAATAACGCAGGTAGATAACTTTAAAAAACGAAACTAGATTTTGGCTCTTTTTCCTTTCCCCCACCTGCAAAATTTTATATTTCAAGTTTCTGTACACATCCGATTGTCATGAAAATTGACATGCAGACTAATTAGACTATGACAAACATTTTTGGTCCTCATAATTAACCTTGTAAAACCACTCGTTACACCATAAAACTAATGTTTGAAAGAGGTGGGGGGGGGGGGGAAGGAAAAAGAACATATATTTTTTGAAAAGTTAATGCAATGTTGTAACTGCCATCATCGCTTGCCCTCAGATTTATTGGCCCGATTTAGAACTGCGGCTGCATAAGAAAATGACATTAAACTCAATGCAATATCTGTGCTTCTAAAAAACCAAACATTTTAATCAATTTAAAAAGTCAATGAACGTAGCTTAGACTCCTATATTGGTCGCGATTATTTTTTCCGTTTTTTTGTTCAGGCTTAATTTACTTGCAGTTTGACTTGTGGTTCTTCTTCAAGTTCAGTTCATTTCTTTTGTTAAAAAGGTGGCAACAAAAAACGTAACTAATTTCAATTTTTTCAAAGTTTTTCCAGCGAAACAAGAACTTTACATTTTGATCCAGTCCTCTCAATTTAAACTAGTGAACAAAATTAAGCGCAAATTAAGGTTTTTTTCTTTTAAACGCCAATTTCAGGGATTTTTTGGACAAATTCCACTGAGAATTTAAACAAAAATTTGATCGACCGAGAGCAAATGATCAGAGTTGCCCTCAATGAAATTACAAAATTTGATTTCAAAAACTTACCGGATTTTCCGCTTTTTTTTAGATTCTAGAAAGAGTTCACACCGATGCAAAACTTAGTGCAGATGACGAAAACTGGTTTTTTCAGACCTGGAAAAAACTTGTAAGTCTTTGAAATCAAATTTTGATGAATTTATCGAGGGCAGTTCTGATCATTTGCCTTGGGTCTAAATAAAATTTTTGTTTAAATTCTCAGTAAAAGTTGTTCAAATTCATCCTTGAAAACAGGCATTTTAGATAAAAAAAACCTGAATTTGCGCTGAGTTCCGTCCACTAGTAAATGTGAATTTTGTCAAAAAAGTGTCAAATGGATCTTGACTCTTGTCTTTTCCCCAGCTCACATAAGCATCAATTTTCTGGTCTATCTAATGGTTTAAAAGGCCGAGTATGAAAATTAAATATGTTTGGCATGGCCTAATAAGCTCGCATACCAAATTTTGTACCAATTGAAAAAAATTTTCAAAAAACTTTTAAAATTTCGCAGGTGGATTCATACTGGCAATTGATACTTTTATAGAGGGTAGCTGAGATCATTCTCTCACGGTCGATGGAAAAATTTTAGTGAATTTTGAGTAATTCTTAGCAGAAGTGATTGTTTAAGTTTGGTATTTTAAAGAGTAAAGCCATAAAGAAGATTTCCGTTTTGTCCAGTAATAAATATTGGAGAAAAAAGAAGCCAACCAAATATCTTTCAAAATGAAAATATAACCAGCATAAAGTTGAGTAAGAAACAATGAATACAAAGAAACAGAAAAAAAAACTGTTTTTAGAAAAAAAACATCAACTTTAGAACTTCAAAGCAAAAAAATACATTGCCTTGAAGCTCTTCAAATTTCACGAAAAATTGATCATTGATATATTTTTTTTAAAATCAACTCAATTTGAGAAAGCTTAATCAAAAGGTGAAGTTTTTATTCTGCTGAGAAATCTGAAATTTAAATTCCACTATTGAAACCGATTATGTTTTTAAGTCTGTTTTTTGCATTTAGATAGCGCAATTTATTTAGCAAACGAACTTGAGTTGAACTCAAAAAAGCATATAGACCTAAGTGATTCATAAATACATAAACAAGTAAGATGAACTGCTGTAGTTATTAAAGCAATTCAAGACTTTTACCGGAAAAAAACCCACTGAGACTTTTATAAAAGTCTTCACTACATTCAGCTTGAGTTTATTTTGACTAAATTGAAAAAAAAAATTGAAAACTTTGAGAAATGAGCATCTTAGATTAGTAGAAAAAAACTCGTATATTTTTATCTGAAATATACCAAACACTTCATTTTCTGCTAAATGTTGTTTTCGAGCACTATTTCTTCCGCGGTTGTAAAAAGTTTGCAAAAAAATTGCATTAGTTGCATTAGTTTTTCTGGTTCTTTCACATTATATCCACCTAATGACTTATGTCTATCACATAATAAATACTGCTAAAACAAATAATCAAGTACTGTGAAAAAGCAAGTGCAGCTTTTTAATTTATTCATAATTACTATTTAATAACAAAAAATAGACGCAAGTTTGTATGAAGGTTGTCATGAATAGAAGCACAGCATTTGTTTTAGAGTCAATTATCATTTCACAAATTGGGGATTATGATTTAGTGCTGCTAGACTAGAGGGCTTTATCCACCACCTCCCGCCCACTTTTCAAAATCTCGATTTTTATCTTTTTTTCATGTTTTATCAAGTAAAAAATGATGAAAAAACTTGTTCATAAAAGTCAGTTTCTTCACAATGACAAAATTTCATTGCATTACGGCACTTAACAATTTTTTTGAGAATGGATTTGCTAAGGCGAGTGGAAAGTGGAAACCAGCCAACTAGAAAAAATAAATTTGGAAAAACTTATTTTTTAAATTACAGCTTCAAAGAACGGTTTTTTTAGTAATTGTTTCAGTTTTATGTACGTTTGTTAATCGCAAATTCAAGACTGCTCCCTAAAATGCCTGTTTTGAATGTTCATTTTGGGGTACTCTTTATGAAATTATCAATATTTGGTTTCAATAGACTTACCAGTTTTTTCGGGTCTAAAAAAGCCAATTTAGTTCATTTGGACGATAATTTTTACTTCGCGTGAAAACGCGAGAAATGTCAAATTTTAGTCAGGTTTTCACATTGATTGTTTCCATTTTCTCGCTGAGAATGTTTCACGTCGCAGGAAGAACTGTTTCAATTCGCTTAATTGAGGAATAATTCATTACGATGCGGAGCTTAGTGCAGATGCCGAAAGCTGGCATTCTCACACCCACATTACATAGGTGGGTCATTGAAACCAATTTTGATACTTTCATAGAGGGTAGCTCTGATCATTTGATCCTGGTCTACGTAAAAATTTTATTGAAATTCGAAGAAAAATTTGTCAAAAATGGAAAATGAAATCAAGAATTTTACAAAGTCCACTAGTGTATGAATTTCACAGAAAAAAAAATTAGGCACAATAATTCAGGGCTAAAATAACATGATAATTACCAATTAGTTGTTCTTTTAAAATAATCGTCTTTCTCTTGTTGCTTTACTTTTTTGCAACTGGAGTAAGGAGTTCATTTGTTTGTTTAGAATGAACGAAAAAACTTTGGGTTGCGTTACTTAATTTCTGCATTATATGCACACTTGAAGATTTTATTTATATAACAAGGATAACCGGTTACTGTACAAATAGCACAAAATTTTCCAACCATTGTCTTTAAAAACCTACAAGAACAAACTTTTTTTCAAATTAGTGTTTTTTTCAGCGTGGTGTGATAAAAAAAAGTCTGATGTAAACTAAAACAAAAAATTTCAAATCAGTTTTTATACACTAAATGATATACCACTCAACTCTCGCCGATGACTTATTGTGGTAGCTAACTTTGCGTGGAAAACAAAAAAGACCTAAAACAAACCCGACCAAAGTTCCTCCCCATCTTCAGTGGTCGGAACAAAAAAATCTAAGTGGGATAATTACCATATTAATTAGCAGCAAGTCAATTCAAATAGCATTGCAGCAACTTTTCTGATAACTGGTTATGAAAAAGGAAGGAATTAACCAGTGACTGGAGATTTCTAATGAAGATTTAGAACTAGGCACTTGTACATATTTTTTGGTCACTTGTAAATAAGATTTTCTTGCTATTATACCAGAGCGTGAAACTCCAGAGCGTGAGGTCTTTTTTAAACGTCCAGGGTACTGATTTTCCTGCTCTTCTTTCCAAATAACAATCATTATCGTGGACTTTAAAAAAGCCCAGCGTAAAATTACATAATAGCTTAAAAAGTTGCTTGCAGAAACTTGCATGCGAGAAATGTTCACATTGCAGAGGAAGAGAGGAAAATAGAAAAACCAATTACACACATTAGCTACCGTTTTCGGCTCTTCCAATCCCCCTTTAATTTTTTTGAAACTCATTACATGAAATTCTATTTGAAATGTCTTTATATTATCTACATGCAAAATATTATCATTTCGTACATGCAAAAGGCCGTGAGAGCAAGGTTTTGAACAGTTTTTTTTGGTAATTTTCCGAGGTGGTTTGAAACTGGAAAAGAGCTATTTTTTGCGTTGATAAATTTTGAGATTGCTGGGCAGGGTGTTTGAATGGTCTGCGTGATAATTCTTTGAGGGAGGTGAGGCATTTCCTTTTTGAAGACCTTTTGGCCGATTGTAGCCTACTGACCTGCCATCATACTGTTGTCAGTCATCTCAAAAGTCTTGTTCGGTCTGTCCTGCACATCTTCATTTACTCCCAAGTAATCCATTTTTTGTACTTTTTTGTTTCTCTTTTTTTTTCAGTAGTTTGAAGTTGCAACTTGGTTATGTCAAAAGTGGTAAATGGCCTGAGTCATAATTTGCTCACCTGATTTTTTATTAGCGTCACTTTCGCGCCAAAAGCAACATTTAGTTCATTTAGCACGTGACTCCTTGCATGATGGCAATTAATTTAAACTTTTTTGCAGACACAGAAAGTTGTTGATACAAAAGCCTAGTTACTAAAATTTTAACCACCCCCCCCCCCTCCAACTGCTCCTTTAGATTTTCAACGTCCTTTCACGCTGTTCAATTGTCATTAATTTGGAAGATCAGTTAATTACACAAGCACAAATTCTGGTAGGAGAATATGAAGAGACCAAAACTTTTGGGCATAGAAAAGTCCAGTCGAAAAATTATTTCTACATTTGATACAATTTATACAGATTTACTATTACTCATTTACAGAACAGTTCTATTTACGGCTCTTTTTCCTTCCCGCCCCCACCTCACTCAAACATTAATTTTATGGTCTAACGAGTGGTTTTACAAGGTTAATTATGAAGACCAAATATATTTGTCATGGCCTAATTAGTCTGCATGTCAATTTTCATGACAATCGGACAAGTGAACAGTAACTTCAAATATAAAAATTTGCAGGTGGGGGGAGGGGGGAAGAGCCCCATTTACGAAGAGCTCCAGGGTTGGTTTTTCATTTGAGTGACATCTGTTGAACATAGCCAATCGCAGATTGAAAAAGAGTAATGAACGCAAGTAAACATTAAAAACAATCTGACTTTGAAAAAATTCGCAACTTTCGATTTTCAACAAAAAATAGATTCCCTTTTAGCTCTTTGAATTTCTAGAACGATTTATGATTGGCGCTTTCACTTTTTTGACAACATTAACCCAATTTGAGAAAATTGGATCAATACGTTAGACTTTTATTTCGCTGGGAAATCTGATAATTAATTTCCATTTTCGAAATCAGAAGTCGATCACGTTTTTCGTGACCTTCATACTTTTGCTGTACGATAGTGGAATTCGCCTTCCTTTTTTATCAATAGAAATGTACTGAAACTAAAAAGAAATCACAAGTCAAACCTCGAAAAATCAAAATTGAGCGCGAACAAATTTTAAGACTTTTTCTGAAAAAAAAAATCAGCAAGACCTATATAAGAGTCTTCACTACGTTCATTACTCTTAAAAACTAAGTATAAGCCTACTTTTATCATCGTTCGAAATAATGTTCTAATGCACGTGAAATATTGCATCTCTATCCTTGAACTGTTTCAGAAACTGCTGGCAGAGGAATGCGCGAGCGCTGGAAGCTTCTTCACTGCTGCTGTTTTGCGAATGGGTCCTCTCTTCGGATCTAATATGCGCTGGTTCGGAGGCAGGTTGTTCGCTTCTCCAATACTATGCGCCCTAAAACAAACGAAAACTGATCATAATAATATTAAATTTAAGTAGTTTCTCTGGTCAAGGTTATGGAAAACTTTTTCTAATAAAAATTTGGACGGTATCCGGGGACAAACTTGTGATAACAAAGAGGTTCTTAAAGCCAAGTCACTACTCGATAAGCACCGATTGCCGACATACTCACATATGTGGATGCCTCTGGTTAGGAGCTGCACCTGGTGCTATTGAAGCAGCTCTAGTGACGACATTCCTTTGTTTACCATTTCGATTAGACTCTCTAAACGAGTGTGAATGAGCATTGACATTAGGGGCAATCACTGCTACTGACATGGGTCCGTTGTCCCTTCCTCTTACTCCTCCTCCTTCAGCACCCCTCGTGTTAAAATGAGGCGCCTGAGATCTGCTCGATAACTGATTCAGTTTTTTCAGATCTCCCTGCAGCATGTCCAGCTGTGACTTCTGGTGCTTTTGCATCACTGTCTGTTTACTCTGACAATTGAACAAAAATGATACTTAGATAATAGTAAAAATGCATCAGCGTTCATGTGCAATAACTTATCTTGAAACACAATATATCAAAATGTATAACAATTTTTTGTGAATTAGGACGTTTTTCGGGGACAAATTTTGAAAATGTTCTACTAATTATCCAATTGACATTAACTAAACACACAACATGGTTTTTTAATCAATTTTCTTTAGCTATCTGTCATTAAAATAGCTTGTCCGAACGGGTTCTGGTGGCCATGAACATTAACACTTCAAATTTCAAGATTAGTACTCAGATACTAGTCTTTATACTGGTTACTTACCACATTAAGCTCACTCAACAATTGTCGCCGTTCTTCGTTACCCCGATGAAAAGCCTAAACAATAAACAGTCCTTCATATTTTTCGAGCTGAAATGGAGTCACCACATTTTGGCCGAAAGATGTATCATTTATCTATTGCTCTATAAACTTGGTTATATATGATTTGGATTCCTCTTCCTACCTTGGCCTCCTGTTCCATTCGCAACTCCACCTCTTTGATCTCAGCCTCCAGTCGCATCTTCTCCTTCTGGGCCATCCGGATACCCTTTTCCAAAGCACTCTAAAAACACTAACTTCCCATTTCAATAAACGAGAAAATCCTCATGTGAATAATCATGCTCAGATGGAATCTATGTTCATATCACATCGAACACTTCTACACTCAGAAAGGAAAAACGAAACACTAAAATATATGCAATTCAAAAACAATTAAAACAAAATCAATCGTTGTGGTGCAAAAAAAAATAATTAGAATAATATCGATCTACCGAAGTTTACTGGCGCGCACATCACATTATAAGGACAGAATTTAACTAAAAGTTTGAAGAACTATAAAGTTGAAAATTTATATTTAAGAAACTTAGTGTCCGAATACTGATGTGGGTAGTAACATTGTCTTCGAGTGTTTTATGAATTTTTAAAAAAAATTTCCACTTAAAACTAGCTAACCACAAAAAGTACATAAAGCAAGCGAGAAGTCTTATAATTGACAATTTTCTGCTAAAAATAACGTTTGAAAAAACTGCATCGATAAACAATTTTTTTTCGCTGGAAAATCTGAAAATTAAATTCCACTTTCGAAACTAGAATTCGATCAACTTTTTGTGCCTTTTACACTTTCGCTGTTCGATAGTGGAGTTTGCTTTCCTTTTAGCAAAGGAAATAAACTGAACTTATAAAGAAATCAAAAGTATACTGCTAAAGCTTCCAACCGATTCAAAAGTGCAACCACAAAGTAGCACTTGTATTTGCGACTAGGATTGAAAAAAGTTGCATCCTACTATCACATTACGCTACGCTTATGTAACGACACAGTTTAAAATAGAATGTTTTTTAGTTTTGTTTACCCTTGCGATAAGAATTGTATTGCAGTCGGGTACTAGACTTTTTCGGTTAAATAATTTCATTCACAGAATGGTCTAAATTAGAAAGGATCAAATCAGGTTCAGTTCATAATGAATGCAAATTTCTTTACGTCTCCGGATACACTAATAATGGAGGTAACGAAAAACCTGGGGCGACAAAGATCCTGGATTCGAATCAGACAGGACATGTTTTTCAACGGGAAATATTCCGTTTCAAAAATAACAATCGGCTTATTATTTATCTGCTTGTTTTGTCAGCTCAGTTGCTACACCGTAAAATTTCTTGCGGTACGCAATTTATATTGTAGTTGTTTTCAGTGTTTTGATTTATTTGTGCAGTTTGTAATTTTACTAACCTAACCTTGATTTAGTGTATATATTTTTTGCGCTTTAAAACTTTATTTTGCCCAAATAATTTCGACTTATATTTTATCGACTTAGTGGCTTGTTTGAGATACATACAAGAGATAAAAATTTCTATATCGCACAAAATGCTTGAAATCATAATACAAATTATAGTTTTTCATGACAACATTTTTTTCGGCTTTTCTCCGCTTGATAGGTTTCGGCTTAATATAAATCAGCCTAATATCCTCAAATTGCGTCTTTCGGCGAGCAAAAAAAGTTTGAACTGAGAAAGTGATTTTGAGGGCGATGGGCACGTAATAATTTTTTATTAATCTTAAGTTTTTTGAATTTTTTCGGCTTTTTTATTCTCCAGGTTTCCGTAAATAAAGTTGTGCGTGTCTTTTGAGGGCGAGGGGTACTTACTTTTTATGTCTAACTACCATTTAAAGTATATTTATTATAAGTCTATTTTATTTTTTTTTCGGCTTCAGGGGTTTCTGATTAAAGGATTTCTGGTAAACTTTCTTCCGATGCATATTTCATATTCATTGTCTTGGCATGTTTTTGTTCCAAAACTAACCTGATTTATTTTTGATAGATCGATATTGGTTTTTGATATTTGGATTTTTTCTTCGACTTCTAAAGGCTTTCTTGTTTGTTTTTGTTCCAAAACTAACCTTATTTATTTTGATAGATCAATTGGTTTTCGATATTTTGGGTTTTTTCTTCGACTAAAAGGCTTTCTTGTTTGGTATCGCAAGTTGTGCGAAGCTCAGCTTCGCCTGAACTCTAATCTGTTTTTACACTGAGCTCACGCACTCTACAATACATGTCAAATATATAGACACAGAAACACTCAGCTTGAACACATGTTAATTTGATTTACTAACGTCTGTCATGTCCGCAAACGCTTTTGATATGCGCCCTGCAAATAAGTTTTTCATCAGTAAGAAATGGAAAAAATCTTCCAGCGTATAATGGATGAATGGCATGATAAATAAATTAGTAGCTTTCGAACATTTTGATATCAGAATTGAAAAGCTAAATCATTCATTTTCTTGTGATTCACCACCGTCGATAAAGTGTTCTGACATTTCTATGATTATATCTCCTCCATTGAGTCAACCAATTGGTTTCAGACACATTTAAGTAACAACTAAATACTTTGGCACATTTAGCAATGTAAACCAATTACCGAAGCTTCATCTCAAACACAGCCAATTAAAAGTTGGAAAAGAGTAATGAACGCAAGGAAACTGAAAAAAAAACTGACTTGTTTTTTCAAAAATCTTCAACTTTTGAATTTCAAAGAAAAAAGAAAAAAATAGATGGCCTTAAAGCTCTTTGCATTTGAAGAACACATTATGATGAACAGTTTTATGTTTAAAAAAGCCCAATTTGAGAAAACTGGATCAATAGGTAAAACTTTTGTTTCGCTGGGAAATCTGGTAATTAATTTCCATTGTCGAAATTAGAAGTCGATCTCGTTTTTCGTGACCTATACAATTTTGCTGCTCGGTAGTGGAGTTTGCCTTCCTTTTAACAATAGAAACGCACTGAACTTAAAAAGAAATCACAGTCAAACCGCGAAAAATAAACATTGAGCGTGAACAAATTTTAGGACTTTTTCATGAAAAAAAAAAACAAAAAAATCAGCAAGACCTATATAAGAGTACTCACTACGTTCATTACTCTTAAAAATGGCGCGTTTTCAAAAATGGTTAGAGACTGCGTATAATGTACGCACCATCTTTCAGAACCAATTTAGTGTCTTCGACCTGGTTTGCCAGCATAACCACCTGCCGCTCCAACATCTGGTTCAACTCACTCTGGTTATTGTACCTTGTCTTCCATTCGCTTCCTAAACGGCCACATTTAGATTTTTCACAAGCATGACACTAATCAATTTAGCAAAGTGAAGCCAAAAATGATCTACGAGACACTTACCTTCGTTATCTATCTCGTCCAGCCTTTTCTCGAGGTCATCAATCGTTGCAGCCAACTCTTTTGTTGTAGAGCGCAGCAACTCTCTACAACAAATAGTACGGCTTCTAAGGCTGAAAATGTTCTTGTTAACTTTCTTAACCTCACAAGAAACTCAAAAATAGGATAAACGGTTGCAGTGCAAATAGCACAGAATATAAAAAATTTTAAAAAATCAATTTGCGTCGGTTTTTTTTTGTGGTCTGACAAAAACAACTGGATGAAAGCCAAGAACTTCGATAGTATGGGTAAACTAGGTACATGGGACAGCAAATTTCCTCATACAACATTTTTTTGAAAGAATTAAGATAAAAAACTATTTTAAGAAAATGGCACATGTGCAAGAAGTTCGCAAAAAGATGTTAAAAAAATCGAATATTATTGTTTTTTGGATTAGAATTAAGGTTTCAGATTAACTTTAGATATCGTTCAAATTACGAATGCAAGTCTTCAATATGATATTGAGAACTACTTTCGTTGGATTAGACCAGTTTTCTATAAATTTTTTTGAACATAATTTTTAATGGAAAGGGAATTTTTGGAATTAGCCCTCTCATCAATGTCATTTAAAGGTAATGATCACTTCATATATCCTTAGCAGGCCCCCTGCAGCTAAAACTGCTCCTGAAAAATGACATGGTTTATCTGAGAAAAATAGGTTAGATGGATGGATAATAAGCTGACTGCAAGGATGAATGAATGGATCAATAGATGATTAAATTATAGGCTGGATTCATTGAATGGATGGATTGAAGGCACGATGGATAGCTAGATGAACGCACGGATGGCTGTCTGGTGGAAGACTATACGGCTAGTTGGATGGTTGGAGGGATGCATGGCTGGAGTGATGGCTGGATCGAAGACTGAGCGGTTGGATGTCTTGATGGATGGATGGCTGAATTGATGAAGTTTGATGCGTAGTGGCTAGATGGATGGACGACTGGTTGGTTGAAAGGCTAGATGTGTCGATGACTGGATATAAAACTGGCTGTTAGGCTAGATTGATGGATGACTGGTCGGTCGAAAAGCTACATGGATTGATGGTTGGATATATGACTGACTGGGTGGCTAGATGGATTGATGGCTGGATGCATAGCGAGATGAATGAATGGCTAGCTGAATTGATGGTGGGATTAAAAGAGGACTGAATGAATGACCAAAGGCATGGAGGGCATGTTGGATGGATGGATTGCTAGATCGATGGAAAACTAGATGAGCGGAATGGTAGTTGGATGCACGGATGGCAAGATGTATGGATGGCTGGTTGGATTGATCGATCGATGGCTAGAAGTATGGTGGCTTGATGGTTGGATGATTGGCTGGATGCATGGGAGTATTGAGGGGGCTAGTCAGGTGGAGGCGTCAATTGATGCATGGACTGGTACAATGTCAGGTTGAATTACGTGCTGGATGGATGGATCGATAGTTAGATGGATGGCTGGCTGGTTGGTTTGACGAATGGATAGATTGATGGCTAGATTGATCGCTCGAAGAATGAGTGTCTTGATGGGTTAATGACTGGTCAGATGGCTTGATAGATAAAATTCTAGTGAGATGGATCGCTGGATGAATAAAGTTTGATCGATGAGTTTATGGCTTGATGATGGAAGGATTGCTTATTGGGATTATAGCAAAATGGAATAACTTTTGTTGGAGGTATATGCGGTAGGTTGAATCTGAGAACAAAGAATGGATCGAAATTGGCAAAATTTGAAAGGAAAAATTAAACCTAAGCTTTTTATATTTTCTCTAAATAAAAAACGTCATGTCTCGAAAACCTAAGAAAACCTTTATTTAATTTTGTGACAGCTTTTGAACAAAACTATGAAAAAACGTCTTATCTCAGAAGCTAAAAAAACTGGAACAATCAAGTTCGGATGCATGGCTTGCAACCCCTAAAAGCACCCTGATAATCTCATAATAAGTTTCGGAATCCCAAATTTAATCAAAAGTTTTAAATTTGATATTTAGAGTAACTCAAAGGAAATTGTCATATCTCGGAAACTGAAAAGATTAGAGCAGACATAATTGGAAGCAATATTTGCAACCCAGGAGAGTAATCTGACAGAATCACACTATAGGGTTCGGAATGTCAAATTTTGTCAGTGTTTTAAATCTAAAATTTGAACAACCATTTCAAAAACACATAAAAAACGTAGCATCGTGTTAAGTAAAAAAATTTAGGCAGGCACATTTGGGGTCAACACCCCTGAGAATATCCTGACAGCACCCCACTATAGGGTTCAGAATTTCAAATATAGTCAAGTGTTTTAAATCCAAGATTTAAAAGAAAGTTAAAAAAACATAAAAAACGTCATATCTCGGAAAAAAAAAACAAGATTTGAGCAGTTAAGTTTGTAGACAAGATTCGCAATTCCTGGTAGTAGCTTCATAGCGCCGCACTATGAGGTTCAGAAATTCAATTTTGTCAAGTGTTTTATAAAAAAGGATTTTCAAAAAAACTCAAACAAAACAAACAACGTCACACCTCGGAAACTAAAAAAAATTGAGCTGGCATATTTGGATGCAAGATTTGCAAACCCTGACGGTTAACTGACAGCATCCCATTATGGAGTTGAGATTTTCAACTTTTGTGAAGCTTCTGAATTCATAAAAATTTTAGAAACAAAATCACAAAAATGGCATGAAATCAAAAAAGATTTAGGAATTCACATTTGTAGGCCAATTTCGCAGCCCCTGGGACAACCCTGACAGCACCACATTGTGACGTAACTAATTTCAAACTTTCCAAAACAAACGCTGAAACGAAAAACTGCGTCCCGGTCTCAATGCGAAATAAGAGTACCGGCAACACGAACTGACCTTCCGGTTGTGATTGAACTCTGTTTATTTCTTCCAGCTTATCAGGCGAGAAATATTGTATTGATTCTCCTATTTCCTTTATTTTCTCATGATTACGACTTACTGTTTGCCTTCTCATCAAACTTATTGACGAAAACGTTTCAAATTTGGAAAGTACATTGATTATTTTTATTTAATAAGATTTAAGTTTTCATATTTGTAGGCCAATTTCGCAACCCCTGGGACAACCCTGCTAGCAGCACACCATAGGTTAACTAATTTGAACATTGCTGGAATAAACGCTGAAACGAAAACGGCCCGTTACATCATGTAATAGAGGGCTGAATCCCACCTCTAGATGCGCTCCTCTGCGATGCGCTCCTCCTCCCCTCCCAAGCTGGCATCATTACTAAAACCTTAAAATTGAGCCTTTTCTTAGACCTAACATTCATAAACTGGAAATCGAAAAAATTCTTAAGCATTGCAATATAGTTTATAGCTTAAACATGCAAAACTTTTCGTTAAATATTCAAAATTGAAAAAGCTTTAACACGGGGAGACAGCTGTCACACGCATTTAAATATAGTATAGATAGATAGACAGATATAGATAGATAGATGTAGTTAGCTTACCCCATGCTATACTTGAAAACGCGGCGGTATGAAAACCGCACTCATAAATATCCGATTTAATCAATTGGTCCAATAATAAATAAGTACAATCAGATTCGATGTATATACTAAGAGGGACACTGCTTTTCAAGAGCAAAAAGGTACAGGTAAATTTCTCAATACATTGTGATTTTTTTACTCGAATGTGAAAGATTTTTCGAATGAATGGTCCTAAGCATGAGCTCATAAATTTCTACTCTTTCATTAAAATAAGAAAAACAAGCACCATTCAGAATGAGTTTTAGCAAGAAACCACATCCAGCAGAATCAATTTTTGAACTACTCGATTTATTTGCTGGAAAAAGCAAAAAAGTCAGTTTATTCCAACAATGCGCTGAAATAAAATCCATAAGAAATATAAGCAGAAAAGAAAAACTGTACTTTCGCTATTTTAAAGAAAAAAATGGAGCAACGAAAAAAAAAACTATTTCAATAAATTTAGGAACTGTATTGGAGACTCGAAACAAAAAAAGCTCATTTGCTTCAAGCTTAAATGACAAATCTTTATCACCTTTGAAAATAACCATTCTTGTGACAAGTAAAACAGAGAACTAATTTTACATACGACGCCGACAAAGCTCCTAATTATGGCAAAATTAAAGAAATTAGATATGATTAACTTGAACTTGATTGCCTGGAAATAAGCTAACACGGATAAAACAACAAAAATGACTAGAAAATTTCTTCATTTCGAAACTTAAGCGTTAACATTCAAGAGTGGTCATTAAGCCTGTTTGTAAAAATCGGTTAAAACGTTTTAAAAAAAAAACAAACTATCATTTTAAAACCATATTGATTTTTGAAGAAAAAGACTCAAAAAAAGCGGAAATAAAACAAAATAAGGACGTAATGCCTCACCTTGAAAAATTATAGATTTATCTTTTGTCGTTTCATCTGATATACTGTAGTCTTACTGTACTGTATTACTGTAGTCATTTGATTTACTGTAGTATTTAGTAGGGTGAATGACAAGGAGACGGGTCTCTGATCTAGAGAGAACTTAATAACTAGCAGAACAAACAAAAAGAAGGCATTTAAGCGGCTAATTGAAAAAATTAGGCGGTAAACGAATAATTACTTCACAACATGCTTGCCCTCGTATCGAACGAAAATAAGATGTAATAAATAATGATTTAATATTCGGCTGATTTTACTCTAATTGGCTGCCTTGTCTCTGCTTTGTTTTCTTTGTGTCTATCATGACTATCTTTTAAGGTCACTGTCTGGATCAGACCCGTCTCCTTATCACTCACCTTGGGTAGTTATTTTAACGTTTTAAATCTTTTATCAAAGGGGTTGCAAACAAAAAATTTCGCGACTTTATCCTCCTTTCATTAAAAACTTATGAAAATTTTATTGACTTTAACTTTCGCAGATATGAAACCAAATTGGCCCCATTGTCTGACCTCTACAAGTCTCATATCGACTTTAACATTGAATTGATTACATGTAAGCAAATGATTGCTATGCAACTTAATTTTTCTTTCTTTCCTCCTTATCTACACCACCATATTGAAACTACTAGATTGGAGTGATGGATTGCTTGGAGTTGTGGCTGAATCGATGAATGGCTGCTGTGATGAACCGATGGCTGGTTGGAGGGATGGCTGATTGGTTGGACGGATGGATAGATAAATTGAACTAGGACGGCAAGCTACTTGGACGGCAATATAGATAGATGACTTAGTGACTTGTTGGCTAGGTGGATGGATCGCTTGATGAATGAACAGCTCGATGGATATATCGCTAGACGAATTAGACACTTAACGATTGATTGGCTTGATAGCTGGTTGGATGGATGCTTGGTTGCATAAATTGATGGCTAGTTGGATGGATCGCTTGAATGAGTGTCTTGATGGTTGGATGGATGGCTAGATAGATTGATGTCATGATGGATGGATGGTTAGAGTGACGCGTCGATTAAAGGTTGACTGGCCTAACGGCTGGTTGGATCTCTTGGTGAACACAAGCTTGATCGATAGGTTTATGGCTTATGGATGGATTGCTAGCCGGGAGGATAGCTAATTGAAGGGATAACACTGAAAGGATCTGACAGTCAGATTTTACCGCCACAACTGCAACCTCTGATTAATTTCAAATCACACCGCCACAATATAGTATAGATAGATATTGAAAAGTAACAGAAATCATTTACTTAAAAAAAAAGAAATTTTTCAATGATTGACACAGAAGCGAAGTTGCACTTCGCAGACGCAGCAAAAATAGGAACGATAACGCTACTGGGAAAAACTGAAAGAGTAAAACTTTGAGTCTACAAAATTTCTTACGCCCGCCACTTATGACGCATTAGAAATTCCAGTCAATTTGAAAAAAAAAACTAACAAGCCTCAATTTATAGAGCGGACGCATTTTAACTAGTACACGAAAAAATTCATTAAAAACTTCTGACCCTTGTAGCGTAGCGGACGCATTTTAACTAGTACACGAATAAATTCATTTAAAAACTTCCGACCCTGCCCAGATTCAAATCCTCTGATTTTGTTGGGGGTCTTCTTCCTTTCCTCTGCGCTACAGATCCATGATACCTTGAAGGTTAAGTGCTATTTGTACTATAACAGCATGTCTTTAAATCTTTAGCATTGAATGCACTTAATAGCTGGTTTTTGATCAAAATGAACACATTTTGTCGCAACAATATTTGCGTCGCAACAATATTTGTGACTTAAGTTGGAAAAAAAGAGAGTTCATACTATAACCCAAGCTTTGCTGTAAATAAAAAAGAACGTATACGCAAGGATCCTGTTCGATATCTTGTTTTTCACATTGATGAGAAAGAAAGTAGGTATTCGATATTGATTCATATCAGACAGAATACTTGTACAAAATTATAGGCAACGAACATAGCCAAAAGACAGAAAAAAAAATTCAATAATTTAACAAAAAAAAAAACCAACTTGCGCTCTTTGAATTTCAAGAATCTTTTATTGCTGACACATTTGTATGATTAAAACCAACCCAATGTAGAAAAAACTGAATCAAAAATTAATTTTTATGTTCCACTGGGAATTCGGAAAATTGAAGTCCATTGTTGTTACGAAGTCATTTACATTTTTTAGCAAACGCATTTGAATTTTAATAAACGTATTATTATTATTATTACTATTATTATTATTATTATTATTATTTCATGACCTAATAACCTATCAGCGTCAAAAAAACAGCATGCTTTTAAATACAACAGCAAGCATAATGCTATAACAGCTAGCACTTTGTAAAAATCTGGTACTTTAAAATTGCTGATGCTTTTGCATGTCCCAATCCAACATGTTCACTACCTGTGACCGTTCATTTAAGAAAAGGCCATTCTTTAACTGTTTAAACATCTATTCTTTTTAAAATCAAATGAAATGAGAAGATAAGAAGTGCAAAAACATACTTTATTTGTATTTCCTCGTAAATTTCGCAGTCCAATTTATCCAAATGCTCCAAAGCCTCCAAATTCAGTAGATGAAAATCAGCCAAATTTCTGATCGAGAGAGCAGCTTCTTTCGTATTCCCCTCTGCTACAAGGTCGTCTTGATTCCAAGAAAAGGTCACCATTACTAAAGACTGAAACGATATCAAATAAAAACTGACATTTTCAGACAGAGGGAAAATGGAGTGCACTGGCTGCAATAAATGGTTTAAAAAAAACAGCATGAACAGGTTCCAGCAAAAACCAAAGCGGAGCATAAACAAAGCATGACACACTAGCTGACTGAAAGCATGAAAATACAGAAAATGTCTAATCACGATTTGCCTCGATCAAAAATATTGAAAAAAAAATCCTTTAGATTAGCATAGATCACATTTGGAAGCAGTTACTGGCCCGACAATGTTCAAGGGAACTCTCGTTGAGCCAAAAAAAATGAGGCCAATAACCTTATTAAATAGTGTTTCATGTCAAATGTTTCTATGAGGTAGCAGTGGTTGCCTCATAGTTCAATGATCTACATTGTTGGTGCAAGTTCTCTTCATCGCACCCTTCACCCGAAGTATAGCCACGATCAGGAATTCATCCAAATAGCTGACCATTTAATTACGTAAAAACTCAGCACAATCACTAAAACAAACAAAAACAAAACGAACGCCAAATTGCTAAATTTCTAGGGAAAATCTCTATGAAAAACTAACATTTCGATGAAGACGCTAGATGGTACATTGCTAGTTTTTCCTTAATAGTTTTTTCTTATGGTTCAAAACATCCACTTCAGGATAAGTTAAATGGAATTCATGTCCTAGCCGATATTGACAAATCATTAAAACATGCGTGAAATTGAATTGATGGGGAAAAATTATGTTAAATAGAAGCCTCGTCAAATTGGTACGCAAAGAAAATCAGAAAAACACCAGTTGACCGTGCTCTTTCAAAAATGCTGAAATATTTGAAAAAAAAATGATCATTTTGCTGTAACTTATGGTAAACGCAGTCAATTTTGGGTTACGAAATGACACAATTCTGACAAAAAAATTTTTCAAAAAATTGATTTGCCAAAAGTTTACAGAAATTGAAAATGACAGATAGTTTCATCTTAAAAAAGGAAAAAGTTAACAATAAACAGTACTCGAAAAGAAAAAACAAGAACTCATAAGTGATAAAACTTATTAAAAACTCAGAGCTACCGGAGCTCAGCCCGCTATGTTATACAATTTGGCTAAATTACATAAGAATGACAGGCCACTTCGTCGAGTTCTATCAATTCCAGGCAGTAGATATCATAAGCTGAACAAATTTTCGATCCCGTCTTTTGAAAATGTTCCTGGCGCAAACATTGAACTGTCTCTGTAATACGGTCGAGAAAAACTCAAAAATTAATACTTGACAAATTGTTCAACTAGACTTTAAGAGTTTGTACACAAACGTTTACGTATCTGAAACAATTGAGATTGACTTACGTAAATTGTACACAACTGATTACGCACCAGATTTGACCGTTCAACTCTTAGAAGACTGCGTAATTTAGCCTTGACAAATATTGAAAATTGTATTGTCAGAAAAATAGGTTAGCCATGGATGTATTACTGGGATCAATTTTGGCTAATATTTCGATGCAATCAATCGAACGAGTAATTGAAGATGAAAACGACGGCGTAAAGCTAATAACAAAAAAATATCTGAAAAATGCTCAAAAAGCAGTAAAAAGTTTTGCTAAGGAAAAGGTGTTGGTGTTGAATGTAAAAAATGTGATTTTTTTTTGTGCTAGACGTCAAAACATTAGTAACATAGAATACCAAAAAACGCGTTATCTAGTTTGGTACTGTGAAATTTGACGTAATTTGCCACATTTTTTAATTTGAAGTAAAGAAAGAAAACTGTTCAAAAGATTTGTAGGCGACATAATATATACTGTAAAAGAGGACCCAAACACGTTACCTCATAGAAAGAACTCAGTGCTTAAGAACTTGCAATTTACCATAGAAAAAATCAACGAGAAAAGTGAACTTGTTTTTTTGGACATGACTATTGTGGTGAACCAGAAAAGGTATATCACATGAAAATGGTATCGAAAACTAACTAATGCTGAAACTATTTTGAACTTTAATAGCACCCCTCCAGCACAAAATCAAATTGAGCAGAAGGAACAATACACAGGCTGTTTCTAGGTACCAGTAACTGAAACAATTATGCTCAAAATTTACAAACTAACAAGGAATATTGGAAAAAAATAGTAACTAGAATCCTGGACGTCAAATATCGTAAATAGTACATTTGAAAAAACTCATAAACGCACAACCAAAAACGTGTCAGAAAGCAAAAAGTGAAACCAGTTGCAGACAAATTGACAAACTAATGTTTTTTCTTCAGTTTCGAGGAACTTTAAGTTTGTGAACTTGAAAAAAAAACTTCAAAGGTCGAGCTTGGCATAATTTTTTTTTGCCGTCGCTCAAGTCAATTGTAACATTCGCCCAAATATCACACAGCGACGGAGCGTAGAAAAAGTACCTATTAACGACTGGCAGGCGTCAGTTACCTTAATCCTACTCGTTTTTCACCGTCTCGACCTTGCCAGTTAATTTTCTGGTCTGTTTAGGGCAAAGTAAAAAGTTACCATTTTTAGGCCATCAGTCAAACGACTTTTGATCAGCTTTCGTTTACATGCGAACACAACCACATAGCTGAGTCTCGGATCCTCAGACTACGTGATTGTCATTAAAAACACGGCTCGAACAACCTATTTTTATATGTTTTTGTGTGACAGTTTTATATTAAATCCATTGGAGATGGATTGACCCTTTCCCTTTTCTAGCTACTCATGCTCTGAAATATTAAATAATAACGGTGTTAATTAAGATCTATGACATTATAGCAGCTATATAGTCAGTCTATACAGTCCCTTCACATAGACAGTCTCTGGGCACTCTTATTCTTGAGATAATATTCTTGAGATAATATTCTTGAGATAACACTCTTATCTCTTATAATTCGTGTCCCGGGAGGGTTCCGTGGTATATTTCTTCCCCCACTGAAGCCTCCTTCTCCACAAATATCCGTCGCTAAAGTTCTTATTGTGTGTTATTGCCACGACAAGAGGCTTCGTAATTTTCTTGCTCGACTGTTCTTCACAATATTTGGCGTCGTTCTGTTTTTCGTCTTTTTATTCAAAATGGCCGTCTTTTCTCTATTTCTCAGAAATGTTCTTCTTCCAATCGAAATTTTAAAAATAAAAATTCTAGAACATTCTGACCCTCCGTCGCCACACTTTTCTGTTCATAAGGCCTTTAGTCACTCTTTTTTATGTCGCCGGAAGGTTGTGCTGTGTCATCTGGCAGAATGGCACATACTCCCCGGACAAGTCTCCATCAATGTCCCTATTGATCGCATAACACCGGGTTATCGCCAAGTATTTATCCAGTTTTCTGTAATCAATCTTACAAATCGCATAAGAAAATGAAATTTATCTACCCCACCTCAACTCACTACGTGTTCACAAATGGCATCGTACTACATCTCACTGCCTTTCAACATTTTCACAAAATTTGCACCATGAGGAGTGTCCTAGATAAAATTTCTTTTCTGACTACTTACGTCGTCTTGCCAAAAAAACTTCTTTTCGCTCTTTGCGATTAAAAAGTGGGACGTGGCACGGCCACGCACCCGTTAAAATTAACTTAACTTCACTCACCAAGTATAATCAGTCATTTATGCGGTCCTTTCAATATTAAAACCAAGAAACTCTGTGGCTAGGAAAGTTCTTGAGTTACCCACCCTTCTCGAGCGAGTTTACCCAAACTTACCATGTCGCCACACAGTGAATTTGTGTCTTACACAGGTTAAAAACTTCAGTCGTGAATAAATAGGTAAATATACTCACCTATGTTCCTTATATACATACATAGATAGTAGTAACTAAAATCAATAATTTCAACAATTTTAGCAATTGCAACATTTTCAAAGTTTGGTCTGACCAAACTAGATCAAAACAAAAAGTTTCACAAGTTCAATAATCAAAACTTGGTTGATTGGTTTAAGTTTTAGCACACAAATACAATCAAGTTTTTCTCCTTCTCTTCTCTTCTTTGGTCATCTTCATTCCATCATTTCTCCATCCTGATGTTCAGCGTCACTGTCTTCCAGGACTTTCTCTAACATGTCCAGAGAGTTGCGGGCCGTGCCCCAACCCTCCTGTTCCAGCAGCCTCGGTTTGCAACAAGGTAGCAAGTCCACATTCACCTTCTGCTCCCGGTTCCTGCAAAAGCTGTTGTGAAGACATAGGCTCACGTTTCGTTCTAGGTCAGCTCTTAAGACCTCTTTCTTCTCCTCTTCAGTAACACGAGGCGTTCCAGCTACCCGCTTCACCGCTGTGGTGACCGCGTTTCTGTGCGTCAAGAATGCTCGTTTATAGGCTCCTGGTCCTATATCTAGCTGGAAAGATTGATAGGCTTCCGTGTTCCTTGACATGTGACGCTTCGCGCGTTCGTACATCCAAGATGTCATCACTGCACGGAACCAAGGCATCAATCTTTGCCTTGACCATATTCTTTCAATGGCTTTAGGTATCCTCAGAACCTTGCAGGTGGTTCTGAAAAGATCCAATTCATGACTCATCTTCGCGTTGATCAACTGCTCAGGAGTCGGCACGGCCGTCTCCTGCTGACTTGTGTCCGCGTTAGCCTCCAACCATCTCACTGCTAGCATGGCGCTAACCACCACGATTGACACTTGTTGATTCTGATCGGGCAACCCCGTGGAGTACAATTCCTCCACGTCCCATACTAGGATCAGATTCCCGCGTTTGGGGTACCACAACGTCTGCGCCAAGCAGTGGCAAGGATACTCCCCATGGGTTCTCACTATGTTCCTTCGGGTCCGATACCCTGAGGCTCCCAGAAACGGTTCCACTTCCATCAGAATTCTATGTAAATCGTCTTTCTCTTCTATGGTAGGGAATTCAGTGGGTAACGCTCCACTCGCTTTCTGTTTCTGGAACTCACTCACGTTACCTTCGTTCAATCTCATGAACTCTTCACCCACAACTTCTTGCAACTCGCCTTCAGATCTTTTCGGGACTGCCCGAAAGATCTTTGCCAACAAGTCATATGACCTTTCTGACATTCTGGCCAACCTCACGCACTTTGGCACAGAGAAAAGTTGGTCAATGACTTTTAGTTGTACATACCTGATCAAGCTATTTATAACGAAAATTTTTGTAATTTGTTTAAAGCTTTTTCATTTATATCTAATTTAACCGAAAAAATTGCATTCAGATTTTTTCGCTGTAACGGGTTGTTCATGATTAGTCGGTCAGTTTATCTTTTGTGGCAAAAATTTTTATAGTCTGAAATAAAATCTTATTAAATTCTGAATAGTTCAATTAGCATTCAATTGTCTACATAATGCACCAAAGTTCAGTCATGAAAAATTCATTTTTCTTATTTCTTTGATATATAAACTGAACAATAACGGACCAAGTATCGCGCTTCACGACACACCTCTTTGAAGTTTAAGCAACTCGGAAAAAACTTCATTCACTAAACTAATTCCAAAGTTTTAAGTTAATGCAATTGCTTTCAATAAAAAGCCAAAAAAGTGTGATTATGATTTTTTTGACTAAAATCTTTTATGAAATAGATTCTGAAACCTTTGAAAAAGCCGGTAAAGCTGCGGGAACAATTTTTCAGAACCACTTTTTGTTCATATACTTTCTGTATTTTATATCAATGCATCTTGTATAGAGAGTTAAATGCGCATTCCAAACTAAAATAGAGTCTATATTTGATCTTTGTCCTATTGTTCTGTGATTTGAACGTGAAAATGTTATTTCAAACATTTAAGAAAATTCACATGTTATTGAAAAAGAGCGATAATTTTTTG